TGTCCAGCAAGAGTGTGAAGCAAGAGTGTCCAGCAAGAGTGTCAAGAACAAGTGTCAAGAAAGATTGTCTAGCAAAGAGTGTCAAGAAAGAGTTTCAAGCTAGACTGTTTAGCAAGAGAAAGTCTCGCGGAAAATGCTCGTTTTTGGAAGTTCGATTGTCGCTTCTGGTGAAAGTCTCGTGAAAAATGCTTGTTTTCAAGAGTGTCAAGCAAGAGTGTCCAGCAAGAGTGTCAAGCAAAAATGTCAAGCAAGAATGTCCTGTAAAAGTATCCAGCAAAAGTGCCAAGCAAGAGTGTCAAGAGAACGTGTCAAGAAAGATTGTCTAGCAAAGTGTGTCAAGAAAGAGCGTCTAGACGGCTGGGGAGGTGCTGGCGATGCTTTAGTTGATGACTCTGCGAGTCATCTCCGAAAACAAGAACGCTTTGAGTGCTACGCTTCTATACAAAGTGACTGCATTCGGGTTCGTGGGTTCTATCAGGTTTTCATCTTTCTAATTTTTAATGCTGCCGTTTTGGAATCCTGTGAAGACTAAGCCAGTTTGACATGAAGACTAAGCTGCCCTGCTTTAAAGAACTTTCTGCATTTATGGCTCCACCGAAGTTGCCATCTGGCCTTGCAGCGCATCGTATGCATTGTCGCGATGCTGTCTTTCTGTTGTGATTGCCACGGAAAGGTCGAAAATGACTTCAGGAAGAAGGTCTGGATGCTTGGGCTTGCAAGCATCATCCGCAAACGCAGTTTGACTGTTTTAGGTTTTGGATGGTTTTGGGCGTGGATGTCTGAAGAAATCCCGCTGCTCTTCCTCTGCAGCTCGCGAGCCCTCGCGAGCCCTCGCACCTTCGGGTCTGCGCCACTCGCAGCACTTTGGTGGCGGTTTCGGTGGCGTCTTGCGGGAGGTCGTCCTGTCGCCCATGATCGGTCGGAGAGATTCCCGGACTCGCACACGCAAACCCGGATGCAAACAACTGACTTGGCGTATAGTGGGAAGTCGTATGAAGTATTGCGATACAAAATGATCATTACAAGTATTTGTAGGTATTCCGAGATTTCATCTTGCGAGTTGTTCTGTCTTTCGGCTCAAAAGCACGCTGGTCTTTGTCGAGGGAGGCCCGTCCTGCTCCTCTTCCACTTCTCCTAGCTTCTCATAGCCCTGCCTGGCAACAGTGTGAAGGGCTTCGATGTCGATGCAAGGTGAGGTGTAGCACCATCAGTGTCCAAGGATGTCCCTAAAATATTCTTCATTCATGGCGTGGTGGTTTGCAACAAGAGATCATAGCATATAGATCACCATATATCATATATCACAATGATCAAACCTCTTGAGCCTGAGCAAAGCACACAGCATCAGGCCGAAAAAAGTTGTCGCTTCGGGCACACTCCTTTCTCGCTTGTTTCAACCGTTTAGCCGGCTGATTTTAAAGGCCAGCCACCCAGGCCTCACTTCAACTGCAGCAGCGACAGCCAAGTCCCTTTCTTCCTGTGCTTCAACGATGCTGAGCCTGGATATGTCCCAACGCAACTGAGCACAAATCGGGATCACAGCTGCTGGATCTCAACTACGTGCTCATCGGGCAAAAAGACAGCCGCACAAATGAGACATGTCAAACATAATGAGACTAAATCACTATAATCATATAATTGTCTCGGCTCGTTCTTCAGTTCTTCCGTGCTGCCAAACGGGAACAATACAGTGTCTTTCCAAATCTTAGGAGGAACCCTTGCTTGCATCCACCCGGCAATTTCCCATGCCTATATAAAACATCTTCCTTCCACTATCCCTTCCTATCTGACTCATTTCCTAGCTGGCGCATGCTCAATATCCTTCTGCAAACCGAGAACATCAAGGTTCCGGCACTGTGTCCAGATCTGCAACTTGGGCTCCAGAGGCCATACCTTTTGGCCAAGCACTGAGAGTAGGGTCATTGCATGGATACAAATTTCTGATCTAGCTTCTTCCATGTCTTTCTTCTATCTTTTTTTGGGGTGTGTGTGTGTGTGTGCGTCTTTGTTCATTGTTGATCATTGTTGTGGCCCTTTCTGATCGATATGGCGAGACCATGGCTGAAGCGAAAAACAAACAACATCATGTGGATTTTGATAGAACCGTTTTTTTCCAACCGGCAAGCGCCAGTGTGACCTTCCATCTGCTTCTGGTCCAAGTCTGCAAGGACATCCTCCAGGTCCAGAGCCTGGAAATGTCTTTCACGAGACGGATAACAAAAGTGGAGCCGTGTTAAAATAGTAGGGAACCTGTAGGGATCAACCATAGGGAGACCATTACGAATGCCATCATGTGCTCCCCCCAGCCAGTGAGGTCGGAATGGTTTTAGTCTGCTTAGCTTTCTTTCCGGTCCTTTTTTTGGGGGAGTCTCGCTGCTATTTCGATGCACGCCCAAATCCAACCTCAGGAGCTTTCTGATCTTCTTCTCGTTGTGGTCTTTGGTCCACTACCTGCCAACATTAAAAACAAATGCCAAGATTTGGGTAATCGCATACCGGCCCTCCACTGCCTCAAACGGATCATAGGGCTCGTTGTCAGTTCCATCATCTGCAAGAAAAAAGACAGGTTCGTGTTCTCTATAGATCTCTGTAGTAATATACACACGATTTGTTCACCTGTCGCGTCTACGTCGCAGCAATTGAACTTGATTGCTGATGAAGCTAGAGCAGCTAGGTGTGTCACAGCTACCTACGTGGTGCCTCTATGTGGCCACCCTATGTCATGTCTCAACTATTTTTGAGCCATCTTCATCTGAATCGGTGTCTAAGCTCCATTTGATCCTGAATGATCCTGGGAGGCCAATCCAACGCCTTCAGGCCCTTCGTCTTTGGTCTCCTGGAGCAAAGCGAGAAAAAATGCAATCAATTCGCAGTGACTGATTCCTGCAGATCGAACAGTCTCCACACATCAAGAAGCAACAGGAACCAACAAGATAAGATTGGAAAGACCTTTGTTCATCCTTTGATTTATAGAATCGTAAAGGCTTTTGAATGCATTTCTGGCTGAGGCCATGAAACTGCCGATCTAAGGGGCTCCTCCACCTGCATGGGCCCCTGGACCGCCTCACGCGGCAAGAGTGCGGTTCCACCCGTGGGAAAAAACCTCACGCCGACTGGACGTCCCCGCTCCGCTGAACGAACTCGCGAGCAAGCAAGGCTGCTCCGCTCGTAACAATGCCCTTTGTTCCGCTCGTAGCGTCCGAACGCTCCTAGTAAGGCCAGGAGCTCCCCCGTTCGTCGCGTCCGAACGCTCTGTTCGGTTCGCGATGCCATGGGCCTGGAAGTTGGGATCCCCCAAATCTGCTGGACTCGACAGCCAGTCCAGTCCTCCGAACGCTTCGGGCATCGGTTCTGCGGCCGTTCGCGCCGTTTTGGGTGGCACTGAGAGTGACCAACTCTGAGGCACCGGGCTCACCCAACCACTCGGTCCCAAAGCATATCCTTCACGTATCCGGACGGGGGACGGGCGGAAGATGCAAGATCGGAAGACCCCCCCCGCCCCAGTGAATGGGCTCAGAATTGATGGATTCTTCATAGCTTCCGAAAGTGGGGAACCTCCATTCCTTCTGCTACACGCACCATGTTCAAGGACCCACAGGAAGCATCATCAAACGACAGTTTTGACTCTTGACCACTGCGTGCCATTCTCGGCCATCTTTCGGATTCTTTCTGACATCTTTGCTGCTTCACCTCAACCCATCAGGCAATGTCGGGCACACGTTAGCCAGAAGACGGTGGTGTGATTGAAATGGTCAGTGAACAAATGCCGTCTCTCACCAACAGAGTGGCTGTTATCTTCTGGGCGCAGCACTTCTCATTCTTTCCTCTCGCTGCTTCTCCTGGGAGTGATCCAACATTACATTCTGGGTGTTTTGTGAATGACTTCGTGTGTCGACTACCGCAAGACCAGCACCCGCCTTCTCGATCTGCCGCTCCCGTCGTTCATCCTCGGAAGAGCGTTCGTGTATAACGTGGTGGTGAAAGGTGGGGAGATCCAAAGTTCACCCAGCCTCTCTTACTTTCTTCCTCTTTGACGATTGCTTCCTGAAAAATGCGGCATCAAGCTGATGAATGATTCAGCTGCATCGACCCCAGCCAAGCGAGCTGCTCCACCAATTTGCGTGTCTTCTCTTCCAGAAGGATTGCATAGCCTCAATCCACTAAAGCCGTTGTACAAAAGAGTAAATCCGGAGCTTCTATGTGCAAACCCTGCTGGCCATCAACTGCACCAAGCATTTGACGATTGGCCCGATCGCGGCGTTCCTTCCGAAGTGAGATCTCAAAAATCCATTTACCATCAAAGGTCTGCTCTTCTGAGACGTTACCAAAACCCTGTCGGACTTCACTATTAATATATTGATATGATATATATTAATATTACATATTATATAATTGCTAGGATTCCCCGCCATGTACCAGTGCTTGCGGTGGGTGCTTGTGCCATCTGGAGTGGATCCAAGCCCCGCCTCCGCCTCTTCGGCTGCCATGCGGTGCCGTTCCCACGCTTCGCGAGCAGCTTCCACGCGCCTCCGTTCATCCTGTGCTTCACGGCACATTCGGTTGTCTGATCCAAAGCAGTTTGTCTACCGTTCGTCCTTTTGCTGATTTTCACTTCTCCAGCTTGCTGGGAATTTTTGGATATTCATCATTTCAAACGATCCGCAAGTCTGATCACCTCTTTGGATTGCTCTTCTGCCTCCACTCTTGCCCTCCTGGTCATCGGACATCGCTGACAACGGGAGAAGATGGATCGATGACAGCGGACAGCGCCTTTGTCTTTCCTCAAAGGCTGCAGCTTCTGCCTGTCCCCAGGCTCCACCAGATTTCACCCAGCGAGAACGACGGGAGATCTGTATATAGTCATAGTTATTCCTAATTGTATATATTATACGTTCAAGACTGGTTCATACAGCAAACATGCCTTCACCTTCAGTGACCTGAACCCCGCCAAAACAAAGGAACATCCGATGCAGGTAAAAACCATGTTTTAAGTACTTCGGACTTGGAGTTGACGCCTTTGTGCAAACAAGAGCTTTGGGAAATGAGACGTCGCCTTCACTAAAATTCATAGACAAAAGCATATAGCAACAAATATGCATATGTCGAATATTAATGAATATTAATCATACTATAGGGCCGAATTCTGCCTGAGCTCGCAGGCGCTCGGGATCCAACACCTCATGGTCCAAGTGCGAAAGTAGTGCCTGGGCGTTCGAGAAAGGCACCAAGCGGAGGAAGGATCGCAGGTCAAACATACAACATTTCAAGAATGTCTGCAAAGCCAAACACCAAATAGCTGTAGCTTCATGGCATCACCATTCTAGAGGGTGAGGGATCCACAAATGATAACATAAGATCCCAAGCTTCCTGAACCGCTGTAGCTTCCTGAGCCACCCTAGGGCACCCAACAAAGGGAATGTCAGGTTTGTTGGAAGCTTCACCCGCTTCGGGCAGGCCCACACAAGGGTGGCTCCCGCTTGATGCACATAAAGGTGCACAAGGTTGGAATGGCTTTGAAATTAAACCAGCACGTGGCCCACCAAAGGGTGCATTGAGGTTGGGATATCTCCTTGCTGCCCTACATTTTGCACTGGAGTGGCCCAAAACGGGGGGTGTAAGGTTTGTTAAACAATTTTGGCCCGAGGTGGGTTGCAAAGCGAGCGTGTGCGGTTCATGGTTGGAATGATATGCTCCGGCCCACCAACGGACGTGTAAAACCGCAAAAAGGCTCCTGCTTGCTGTAGAATGGACCCCTCACATGTTCCCCAGCTGGCCGTGTCAAGTCTCTTGGGGCCACAACAGGGTTCGTTGGGTTCGTTTCCTAAAGACCATATGACACAGATGTTTCAAAAACGACGCCAGCAAAACTCCACCCCGCGGAGTGGGCAGCGGCAATTTTGCAGTGGCACCCAAACCCCAAAGAGGAAACACAAACACCTTTCCCTAAGCTTGAAGCAAGAACCCCAATAGCTTTCGCTAACTGGGGCAAAAAGTAATTAACATGAAGAACACCTACAAAACCCCTGATATGAGAACAGGCTTCGTGGCAAAGCCGGAGTGGCATGTGCAGACTTCATGGTGCGGGAGGGGGTTGAGGGGGAGGGCACAACGAACCCCCCCATAATGCCATAAGCATGCAGAACCTGCGAACGTGTGCTGTGAGAAGGGTAAAAACAGTGTGACCCGAACGGACCTCAGCAGTAAGAGGAGAAGGCTCGAATCCCTCAAGAAATCTTAGAAATATGAAATGCAATGACAAGTGCTATGATGATGTGGTGTATGATGGCGTTATATACGGTAACGTGTGTGTGTGTGATGTTGATATTGTGATGTCTGGCGACGACGGTGAGCATGATGATGATGTGAGAGCATCGGTGTCTGCATCATGACAATCTCCAAATGCTTGGAACGGCTCACATACGCCATGTATGCATACCGGGGCCAGTGAGGACAACGCTAACACCAACGCAAGCTGCTCTAAGCTTTACCCTCGGGTGCTCACTAATGGGCAAAGGTGGAACCATTCCTCACTTTGTTCTGAAGTGGCCAAACAGGGTGTGGGCCTCATCCTGACGTCTGTCCTTTGTCGCGTGGGACCTGCAAGCTCCTCACTCTTCACCTATGCTTGCTCCTAGAGATCAAGGACCAAGGGACCAGGGGACCAAACAGCTTATTCGTTGATCCCAAGCAGTGTTCTTTTTGATGATCTTTTTTTGTGATGCCTATCCCTCATTCATGTTAGAGTATTGTACAGCATTCGGATTCATTTTGGTATTATTCTTCCATCTGAGAGATGGACTTTGACTCTTGGCAAGCTTTCGGCCTCCTGACGCAGCTCAGGGCACCACAGAAAGCCCTGCGAAAACAAAAGTGTCTCCGATGTCCTCAGAACTGGAGCTGTGAATGCCATACTCCTCGGACCGGTGATGTTCCTGAGACATAGAAGACCAACCGTGGCTAGAAACATCTCGTTGTGCATGGCTGTGCAGTTCTCCTGGCCTGAGCTGCTTGACCGGACATACCAGTCCAGCTGGTGTGAGGACTTCTTTCATCATCACGTGTGGAGGCATCACCATCTTGAGTCTCAAAATGGCAAGCATCTCTCTGCAGCATTCCGATGGACACTGGATTCTCTGCTTTAGGCCTCGGGTAGACACTGATGGCTTGGAGCGGGTCGGAACTGGATTTTCCATGGGTTGCGGTGCCCTTTATCGGATCATATGCTGTTCATCTGCATGCCCCTGCATCCCTCGTATCCCATCTGCCATTGTTCCCCTATCCCGAGACAAACCGTTTTTGGGAAATTTTGGGAACGCTGTGGTCCAGGCGGTGGTGTGGCTCCACCTGAACGCAGAAGCTGCGACACTCCGAAAGCCACACCGACAAAACCACGACTCTTAGGCGTCAGCTGCCAGAGCCCACCATGTCCGAAAAGCGCCCACCCCTCCTAGAACGAGAAAAGAAAAAAACACCTTGAGGAAGACGGTTCATCTCTGATGCAACATACTGTGGACTTCTTCCACAACGATGATTCAACATACTGTGCACATATATATATATATATCTTTCGAACTGCATCTCAAAAGGATCTGCAAGATCTGCCATGGGCTTCTGGTTGACGCCATCACGACAGCCACAAGCCTTCTTCTTACTGCAGCACCTCAGAGGCGCGGAAGATGGGGAGCCCAAGAGGGGGAGCCCCAAACTGGCCAACGACAAGACCCAGGCTTGCAGAACTTCCTCCTTCCTGCTCGTGTGGACGAACTCCTTCCGGACCAACTGGGACTTCTTCCTTGGACTCTCTGCGGCTGAGATTGCTCAAGGAAAAACAATGACAACACGCTGGCGAATGTGCCTGGATTGTTACAATGTTGTTGTGGTGTGTGCTATCCAATTTGTGATCTGTGACGCCATAGCCCGCCTGAACATGCCACAGCTCAGCTCTGGACATGCTCTTCACGAGTGGGCACCTCTTCAATGGCTTCCAACTCTTCTTGCCGATCCAATTCAGCCTCGCGTCACCACTCTGGCCGTCTGTCACCACTGCGGCCGTCTGTGCGAAAAAAAGAATCACACAAGTTCTTTTCACGACACGATACGACACGTGCAAAGGAATTTGAACTGCTCATCTTATATTTTGTCAGACTTCGTTGCTGCTTTCAGAACTGCCACAGTATTATATAAAATACATTAAAAGGTGTTTTATCATCATGCACCTTCCAACCACTTCACCGACACAGTCCGAAGATCAGGTTGCAAATCTTGCCCAAGGTTGCAACCAGTAGATCTTCCAAACTTGGCACAGACATCTCACCTCAAACGTGCGTCCCATCACACCGCCAAGCGTTCAATGGCAGGAAGGGCTCAGCATCCCACGCCCAAAACTGCCAAATCACATCCAAACTCTGGCTGTGAGTGTGCCTTTGCGCCCCTTGGAACTGTTCCTTGTTCAAAGGTACTAGGCCTTACTACGGGAATGTAGCACAAAGCCATACAAAAGCCCTGCTCTGATATGTGTGTGTATTTTGGTGCTGCGCGGTGTTTTGCCTCGCCGACCAAACCCCTCTTCGGGAGTGGGCATGTGAGTGGGCATGCCACCAGTACGCTGTGCCACCTGTGTTGAGCCGCCAGGCATTCATGTCATTTTCAACATACATTCTGCCGGAATCATGGGCCAACGTGGATGCCTAAAGGATGAACATGTTCCAAACAGCAACAGCAGGTGCATGCTGGTGCCATCCACGTAATCATGCTTATTTCAGGGAGTGGGAAGGCTTGCAAAGGTCCGGAGTCCCACAGTCTGGCAGTCACCCTCCCGGAGCGCTCTGTTGGGCTTTTTCTGCATCGATTGCAGTCACACAACATCTGCCGTCCTGAAGGAGTCCTTCCAAGAAGGTCCGCGAGGCTCGAGAGCCTCATTTTTTCGCAGTGAAGTGTGAAGCATAGAGTTCCTGGAGGTTCTCAGTCATCCCCTCCATGGATCTATCCTCACTTGTCCCAGACTCACCGTGACAAAGAACGACACAAAAAACACACCTCTCTCTACATGTGTATTCTAAAATCAACTATATGTCTACTGTAAAATGGTACCCATTGTTGCCTCTTTTTGATCCTGTTTGCCCCCTTTTGATTCCTGTTGGCCCTTATTGGGCACCCAAACAGAAACCACCCCCCCCCGCCGGTTCCGTGATGTCGACGACAGGACCGAGTCTCCACCGCGCTGGAGTGCGCTTCTCTGATCAGGGCACCGAGTTGTCGCTGTCCGGCGGCCTCCTCTGAGATGCTCAAAGCCACCGGACGCTGACGTCCGTCCACGGTCACGGTGACCCCGTCGGCGGTGCCCTCGAAGGTCGCGGTTTGTAAGGTGCCTTTCAAGGTCTCGGTGCGGTCCGTGAGCGATTCCCACTCCCTGAGTGCGGTGATGGTATCACCCCAGGCATCAGCATCTGCAGGCTTGAAGTTGGACAAAACCTCCTCACCTGAAGAGCCAAGCTTAAGACGGATGGTGCCAGATGGAGGGAGCTCAGCCACTAACCAATCGTCCTGTGGCAGCAACTCTCCCTGCAGGTTGTTCTCACGGAAGAAAAGCTTCCCGTCGACCTTCTTGATCTCATACCATCCGCCAATGTATCGCCACACATCTTCCAATCCATCCTTGGGCTTTTCGGCCTCGGGAGCATTCTTGAAATGCCGGACCACCGACCTTCGGGCTTCCACCGCCCTGGAGGATCTGTGCGTGGGGGTTCCAAGGAAAGATTCTCTTGGAACCAGCCAGGCCAAAAGAAAGCATTGGCTCAGCGCGATTAGCTTTAGACCCTGCAAGTGTCTTCTCACCATATTTGTGAGAAGCAGGAGATGCACCTGCCACCTTTGCAGTTTACAACTGAGCCAGGCAATGTCACAAAGAACGCAGTTGTACTGGAATGCATGTTGGGCAACCCATTTCCAAGAGCTTCAAGCCCTCCCTCTCTCTCTCTCTCGCATAGCTTTTTGTCTTTTGCAGACTCTCCCTCATGTCACCCGCTCACAGCACCGCCAGCACTGCCCTCCTTCCCAAGGCCTGCACAAAATATGAACTGCAAAGCCAAACATTGAACCAGGCAGCCGCAGCGGACCTGCTGTGCAGCAACGCCCTGACAGGTCCCCGTGAATGCTTCCATTCACCTGACAGGGATGGATCACTCTCCGTGGAAAAGCGCATGGCGAAGAACATCGGTCGTCAACAAAGAATCCAGCGCAGCGGTCTCTAGTTTTGGCTTTCTGACCCAACCATGTAAAGTTGTTTGGTTGTTTCGCGCTACTTCTCGCCTGTCACACCAGCGTCTGAGCGAGGTCGCCTCACAGGTACTTTTCGAAAAGCACCCTGCACCGTTCGGACTGGAACTGGGTCTCAGGCCAGTCTTCGCATTCGAGCCTCAAAGCAACCCAACAAATTCCAGCAAATCAGTGTTTTTTCAACCAAACTCCCTGGGGAGGTCTTTTCCTTTGTGGATGCACCAAAACACTGACCCGACCATGCATCGCAGGCCGAAGGTGAAGGTGATCTCACCGAACGGATCATTTCTGTTGTGCCGGCCGATCGTGCGACCGCTGGGAGCCCCTGGCAATATGAGAGGATACTGCCCTGCTTCTCGTTCCTCGGTTTTTCTCGCCATCGGCTCGTGCTCAACTGAGCGAGTGAGCGGGCCCCACTGGGGGCTCAGCTGTCGCTCCCAAGCTGCCTGCAGGTGACTGGATCCAACCAACCAAACGATTGGCCCCGTTTCGCATGTGTTTTTTGAGCGCAAGGGTCGCCATCGGTCGCCACCGGTCGTGTTGGGTCGCCTTGGCGGCAGCTAAGGCCGCTTTCTTGATTTTCTTCTCTTTCTTGGACGCCTTGCCAGGGTCACTTCGCATCACTTCGCCCCAGGTCTGGTGGTACCCCAGGCCCACCTCTGGTCACCTGGCCCACCTCTGGTTACCTGGCCTTTCCCCTTGGAGTGTTGGATGCTCTTTCCAAGCCGCGTTTGGAGGTCCTCGAGCGGACATCACCTTCAGAGCGCCTGGAAACATACACAGCATCTCGGGTGGTTTGACCCCTGCAGCATCCGCCAGGTGAGTTCTACATTCGTGTAGACAAGGTGCAAATTGGTCAATGTGTGCAGCCCCGCCTTGCGTTCCCCGCAGTCTCAGGTGCACAACTTCTTTTTTCCGCGGGCTGTGCCACCTGTGCCCTGGGCTCTTCGTGCTCTTGGTGCTGTGGGCAAGTCTCCTCGTCGCTGTCGACCTTCGAATCCCAACGATGGCGGGTCATCCAACATTTTGTCCCCAAATTCCCTCAAACACATCCAGCTTAACTTCTTTTTCTATCGCACAGGCCCAGGCCGAATAAATTTGAAATAGCGGCGAACACAATGGCGAACAACAAGCCCAGCTAGCTTAGCTTGACAGACATCTAAGCTCTTGGCAGCTGCGGGCTCCGCAGGTTGCAGCGACCTGTGTGCCCAAATGGAATTGGAGGCCATCGCTACTAGGGGGGAGGCCATCGCCTTCTCGACGTTTTGCGTTGTTTTCCTTGCTTTGTTCCTAGTAGCTTATTGTTACTACTATTAAGGCACCTGTTACTACTAGCGTGGCACTTGTTACTAGTAGCCTTCTCAACGTTTTCTGTGTCTTTCAGCTCTATCTATGATCATTCAACGCTGCTGGCTCCCTTCGATGGCTGAGGCTTCAACTTGGAAGACGGCAGTGACAGGCGCCCGTCCGGATGCAGCACAGCGAAGGTCCTCCAAGGTTGGGTGATCCACTGGATAGTTCATTCTAGATGATATGTTCCAGTCATTCTAGTCCACAGCATTGAGCTCCCTGCGCATCTGAGTGGGTGAGCTTAGCCTCGTCCAACCTGAATCTTCCCAGAAATTACACTGCTCACATCCGCTCACTAGTTTCCAGCCTTGCTTTGGCAATCACTGACTTCAGTGGAAGTACGGCCCGGACACTTCCTGTACATCAGCCGCCGTTACCAGGTCTTTGGTGCGGATGTGCCTGTCACCTGTGTTCGGGATTCTGATGGTTTTTCAAGCGCCAGCACAGACGAGACCATAAATATCCATAAATTCATAATTATTCATAACATGAAGTAAATCAAGTATACATTAAATGCAGCTGGTCACTAAGAACGCAACAGAAAGGACACTTCCATCTCTTCGTTAATCTGCACCTCGGAGCTCAGTAGTTCGACCCCCCTCGGTTGTGAGGGAGCGCCAAGTGGGCATGAGAGGTGCAGTGCCGAAACGAAAGAAGTGCATGACGCTGAGGAACACCAGGTGAACACACCACCCAGTTCTGTAGAGATGTTGCTATCCCAGAATGATCCACAACACACACACAGGTGAGATGAAATTGGAAACCGTGAAATACGTAGTCTCAGACCCTAGGTAACTTGTTAAAAGTCAAGTGGGACAAAGTACCGCACCAGCGGTTCTGCTCCATCAAGTCATTGAAATCCAGAAAGCTTCGCTTGTCGAAGGCCTCAAAGTCAAAGCCAAGCGGCCAAGCACTCAGGCTTTGGCGCGACTAGCAATTGCATTACGCGAAAAAACCAGAGAATACCATCATCATCCATCATCCATTGAAAAACGAACACGAATTTGATCATGGTTTACCTGACTGATCATACATCGCACTGCCCATCAACCCATCAACTCAACTGAAGAAATCAACGACTCCGCGGTGACCTCGCCGCACGACGTGCGGAATCCTCGCCTCGACATGCTCACAGTCTCGCCCTCGTACAGGTGACCTATACCCGCACGTGGTGAGGACGTCGTGAGGACGAAAAAGAAAACGACAGAGGCCGAGGGTTAGTGACGACAGCAAGAACAACTCCAGCTGGCTGGTGCTAGCGAAATCGTGACCAAGAGCCAAAACCAATTTGAGCTTTTTCCAGCGACCAAGAGCCACACTCGATCAGCTGCAACCTCCAGGGATTCATGTCAAACCTACTGCAGCATACTGCAGCTGTGAGTGCTCCAGGTTTGAGGCCCAAGCGTAAAGGGATCAGTGAGAGAGATACTTCGCATGACCGCTTTCATGACCAGGTCACTGTCCTGCGTCTTCGAACACGGCTTTCTGACGTTCCGCCGGTGGACCCAACTCAAGAAGCTTTGAAGCTTTAAAACCAAGGTGGAAGAATGGTCCTCATGGACTGCCGCACTTTTCTCGGCTTCCACGAGATCTGGGCTCCCTTGGCTACCTGAAAGACTTGCTGAGCTGCTGGGCGACGTGATGAGCAGACACTCCATCTCCTGCGTGCGCAAACCGGACCGAGCGGCCGAGCCTGTTTCTCCATGCGCAGACTGGACCGGTCGGCCGACCGGCCTCGTCATGCTGGTACATGAGACGCAGCCGCTTTCGCTTCGGCTGCGGCGTCGCCACGGGTCGGAAGAACCTGAAGATCGGACGAAACGAGCGGTTCGTCTGCGCTCAGTTCTTCTGAAGGCGCTGCGGGAAAAAGGAGGTCCAATCCAAGATTCTGGCAACATGGGATCCGACTCTTTTGTGGACTCTCATGCACCATGATCTTGATTCATTCCCAAGTCATGAATCAAGGGAAATTCTAGGAATCAAAAGCTGCAAAAGCAGACTTGGCACTGTGGCTCAGGAGCGCTCTAGACTGTGCATTCTCTTTGATAGACTTGTGACTTCCCTACTCCATCTATCCATCAGTTTCGCTGCTGCAGCGCAGCTCCCGACCCGATCACAGGCATCGATTAGAGCATCAAATGCACTCGGCCCCTCAGGGAAGCCAATGTCGGTCAGCATCTGCTTCAAGAGCTGCACCGCCGCCTGCCACTGGCCTTGCTTAGCACACACAAGAACCACGGTGCTCATGGAGATAGCTGTTGGAGATGTGAACTCACACATCTCCTGACACAACGCAATGGCAAGTTGCCAGTGCCCTAAGCAGGCTCCAATCGCAGCTCGATAGGTGAGCTCGTTCACTTCTACTGAGCTACTGGGCATCTGCTGAAGGAGGGCTAAAGCAAGCTCCCAGTGTCCCATTTTCTCCACACTGTGCAAGATTGAGTTAAAGAAAACCGTGTCCGGTCGAATAGAGGATAAGCAGCTATCCTCAAATAGCTGCAAGACCAGTGCCCACTTCTCGCACTTGTCGCACGCTCTGATTGCAGCACTGCAACTGATCAGGTCCGGAGCTGCCTTTGCCTCTCCCATCCTCCCCAGAAGATCGCAAGCAATCTTCCACTGCCCACCAGATGCACAAGCACTGATGCCTGCATTGAAGGCCCCCGCATCTGGAACCAAAAATCTGCCTTTCATGCTGTGAAATAATGACAGGGCCAACTCCCAGCAACCTCGCTTTTCACACGCACTGATGGCTGAGCTGAAGCTGATGCAGTCAGGGCTGACTCGCTTGGCCTCCAAAAGGCTCAACAAGTCAACCGCTGGCTGCCACTGGGAGGCCTTCTCGCACGCAGTGATTGCCGCACTCACGGTGATGATATTGAGTTGAAGGGAATCCTGCATCAATTGAGAAAGCAAGTTCAGAGCGATGGTCCAATGCCCAACTGCACAGGAACTGATGCTGGCACCGTAGGTCACCTCATTGGGTGCAAGCTTTTTGCTGCGCATCTCAGTGAAAAGAGACAGGGCCAAAGTCCACTCACCACATTTCTCTGATGCACTGATGGCAGCACTGTAGCTGTATTCATTGGCCTGTATCTTCAACAGATGCATCTGGTAGAGAAAATGCAAGGCCAATGGCCAATCTGCGGCTTTTTCGCTTGCGGTGATCGCAACGCTGTAGTGGAAGACATTTGTTTCAACCTGCCTAGCTTCCATGCATTCCAGAACCAGCTCAACTAGATCAGAGCGCTTCCGCTTGCTGAGTTCGTTCAGGGTCGCCGTAGCATATCTAGGGTGCACCGACCACTCTGACATGATAGGCTCCAAGACTGTCAACAAGGCATCTTTCGTGGGCTGTGCTCCGGCAGATAAGATCAAGTTGATGTCCTGATTCATTGTCCCACACAGTCGACCGGTATGCCGGTATGCCAAATACAAAAAGGAAAGGAAGCAGCTCTACAGTTGAAAGTCTGAGCTTCGCGGCTGCGCGGTGCTGCAAAAATCCGCCCGCAGGGGGCGTGGTATCCGGATGGCATAGTCATACTCCCAAGATTTCAGCTTTAGCCAAGAAACCTGAAGGTTGTTGAACATCGAGTGCAAAAACCTCGTACATAACTGCATTTGATGAGGGTTTTGGGACATGCACAATTTTGAGGCATGCGGCATTCTTTCCAAAGTATGCAAAAGTAAAACAAACCGTTGCTTTTTGAAAGATTTGGTGAAAAAAAAGGTAGAATCGGCCAGCGGTCACCAGCGGCTTCATGGTACGGCTCTAGCTGGCTGGGGTTCGTATTGGCCAGGTAGAACCGGGACGATGGGAATCCATTTTTTTATGAAAGCACTCAAAACATGAATCTAGCCACCACCAGTGCTTGCAACGATACTCTAAACCACAGATGCCGCAACATTACCATGCACAAACATTTCTCCTGGTGCGGGCGGACCAGCCGCGTAGCAGTGCGAATAAACATACGCAGATTACCAACCATTACACACCTGCATACATGCAACACTAGATGGCTGCAACAATCTGGGCCTATAGCGATCCTTCAGATGCATTCTGAACTTTGCAAAGGTGCAAAGCTCTCCAACTCTGCCAGGGTTCCATCATGACACCAAATCTACAGCAACATCCAGCAACCCATTTCTGCCCAAGGCTGGAGCTTGCACAATGCCATGTCCTGCGGCTGTCCGGTGCTTGCGGATTGAGTAGGGTATGGTAGCCCGAGTTTGGCTCAGCTCACCCCCTCCTGGAAATTGGTAGTGCTCTTGATATGCGATCCTGACAAGACTCAAACACATTGCTGCCACTCCATCTCCAAAAGCTTGCGGACACTATTGGATTGTCGGCTAATATGTGTCTCACCTCGTAGCAAATAGAAACCACAATTCTTCCGACTCAGCCTTTTATGGCCTTCTGATGCTTTCTGAGTGGAAGTGCTTCAAGCCGTTTCAAGCTCACATCTCCGACCGAGATTGAATCAGATCTTGGCCTCTTGAAACACAAATATCTTGCCAATAAGCATACTACTTTCTCTTCTCAGATCGTGAGTTCGGCAGCGCACCTCTCTATGTTGCCTGAGTCGAGGAATGTCCGCAAGTGACCAACGTCATACAAATTCCATCAAATTCCTACAACATCCTTGCTTCAAGCTTGTTCAGTTCCCTGCTGTCAGCACATCTTAAGGCTTGTCTCATATATCAACGCTCAGACTTGGTTTTCGGGCAGTGCCTTGCTTTTTTTATTGTGCATCTGCATTTGTAATCGTTTCCGCCCTATTGCAATCATGCCATTCTTGCCGCCCGAACTTCTTGCCGTGCATGAAGCAGTTCCATGATGTGGATATGCCGACTCCGTCAAAATCCGTCAAACATGTCAAAACACATCATGTGCCCACGCTGGTTGAGGCAACGCTGCGGCGAGTTGCAGTCTGCCAACTGGAAAATGCCAAGTGCATCAAAGTGCCAAACACGTCACACTACACATCGGCACGGGGATTTTTGCGGCGAATGTGCATGGCATGTCTTTGGCCACCTGTGCCACTGCATCTCTTGCAGCTTCTTCGTCACGGAAGTCGTCCACGGTCGTTCTGGAGAGGTAGGAAAACCACTTGAGGTTGACGTTTAAAGAGTCTTCATGAAGGAGTGCACCTTGGTGATGAGTTGTAAAACCTCCCATCATGAAGGACAGCAACTTCCCGACGACCAAACAGAAAGGTTTATGTCCATATATATGTTTGTTGATTGTTGGAGGACCGGTCAATGATTCTCTCAGGCTTGGACCCATTTGGCATCTTCGTAGAGCTCCTCTCTCTTCTCAATCCTCGCGCCAGGCAGAACGTCTGCTTTCGGCAGCTCAGCGCCAATAAGCGCTGAGATATGCCCTGATGAATGGCTTCGACTCCAATACTCATGCAAGTATTGAATGTTGTGAAAGACTCATGCGAAGGTGCTGAGCTCCCAACGTCGTGACGCGATTCAAGACCTGTGAGCTCCCAGGAGGCGGAGGCCGGCGGAGGCAGCGTCGAACCGTCGAACCGTTGAACATGTTCCGGCAGCCGGGGCGCATCGCTGTCGGTAACCTGCTGCTTAATGCTGTTTACAAACGAATAGCGATGGCCTCCAACCTAGTAGCGATGGCCTCCAAGATAGTAGCGATGAACCTGCTGTTAGTTTTACCAAAACATGGTTTGCATGATGTCAACCCACCTTGTTCAACTCAGAGAGCTGCAAACGATTCTGCGATAGCCTAAGCAGGACATACAGTACTCGGCAGAAACACCCGTCCAACGGGCACGAAGAGAAGGCCGGTATCGCTTGGATTCGCTTGGCCACTAACTCTTTCAGAAGATCTGCACCTCGTTGTATTAGAGCCAACATCACTTCGAAGGTTTCTTTGCACCTCGGCGCGTTGGCAATTGACTGCGAGGGCCAAAGAGGGCCTGGGCAAGGTAAGGCTTGTCCCTCAGATTTCGGCAACTCATCTGGCGCCTCTGAAATCCGCTCCAGAGCCTGCGAAGACCGTTACTTTCAGGATGTACGCCTCAAAATCCTCATGAACCCCGGGTATCTGGTACGAAAAAGGTCAAGTGATCAAGTGGGGCTTCCCAACATGCCTATTATTTGCAAGCCAAGCACATCGACCGTTTAATTGATATCAACAGTCCATACGCAGGTATACATTATATATATGTTTTATATATCATATTCGATACTTGAACCTTCGACAGTTCCCATGCCCTGCCTCCCATCTTTGGATGACAGGATCCAGGTCCCGGGCAACGAAATTGCCATCCAGGCGCGAATAGTCCTGACCAAATCAGTCGTGTGTGTGTTCCATCCAGGGGCTGCGACTCCAGCTGCGAGGCCTGTGAGGCACGTGTCCCAAAGAGCTGTCCTTCTTAATGGATTCGCGCGCCACGAAGGTGTGCTCGATCAAAAGCAACGCCTGCACCGGTGCCGTCAGGCTTTGAAGGGTTGAGAAGTCTCTGAAATGATGAAATCCCAAGCCTTCTCCACGATGGATTCAGGTGAAACCTGCCATGAAGGCGGGCATGAGGCAGTCAAACGGTGCGGTTGGCTGATGCTCACGGCCTTCTCTTTCTTTGCTTTCTTTTTCTTGGGCTTTGCCATATCATGAAGCCCATCATCGCTATCAACATCTTGACCTTTCAACAAGCACACCAGGCCATGAAGCTCAATGAAGAACTGCACATAGTCACGCAGCCCCATTCTCAAAGGCGCACCAGCTTCTTCTGCCGCTTCTCTTCTTTCCTCCTGCTCCTGTAGAGACCCAACATTTGGAAGGCCCATCATAACTCAAGCGCATCAGCTAAAATAGCCCCGGCGAGCGGTGCACGCCTCAACTTTCTTCACCAAGGCTTGCAAGTTGAATTGGCCCTCCATCTCTTCCTGATCATCGACCTCGGAGTCCACCGAAAAAAAAAGGGAACCGCTTCGACCGACAGGCCATGTATGGCCACCAGAGACGCCAGCAAACGACCCCCTTCGCCACCCACGCCAAACTCCGCCGGTCTGCCCGCCTCGTAGTGCTTTCGCTCATGGTCCAGCTCCACCTCTTCGAGGTCGGCATCCAATTTCTCCCTCACCTGGCTGTTCTTCAAGGAAGCTACTAGGAGCAAGGAAGCTACTGGGGGCTCCTGGCATCGCTACTAGGAACGAGATGCTACTTG